AGGTTTGTTCGCGTTGCTTGCACCCTTTGCACTTGAATTCTAGTGAATTTACTAGAGTAAAAGAACTTGTACTAATTCATTTAGTTATTTATTCAAAACAACTCGAACGTCATACATGCATAAATTTATTAAAATGGCGCAAAACAGAAATATAATAGATAATATAATAGATATAATGGATATAGATGATGAAATACTATTTTTACCACCAATTCCAGTACCTCCGTACATATTATACTATGATGGTATGTAAAAATAGTCATATCAGTACTCACATATTTAATTTGCTTAATATTTAATATATTTATTATTGAATTGATGATTTATTAATTACAATTTTTTTGTCTTTTTGATTAAATTTTAGATGACGAAGTATTATACTTTTTACGATTAGGATTAAGAGGAATACAACGTATTCACCATATAAAAGTTAATAATTACATTGAAGATACCGTTCGAAATTATATTGAAAAAGACTTTGTAATGCATTTTCGTTTATCGCGTGCAGTTGCTAATTATCTCATTGCAAATTTTACAATATCTCCAGTTTTTACATCTTTACAAGGTATTTCATTATTTACAGTAAACATAATTCAGATATTTGTCATTAATTATTTTTATAATAAATAAAAATAAAACAGGTTATATCCCACACAGCATGTATAATATTGCAGTAATATTAAACATTACAGAATATGCAGGATATGCACCAATTTCGGCAGAAAAACATATTTTGAGTTACTTGTGGTATCTTGGTCACGAAAGTGCAGGATATCGAGACGTAGCTGATCGGTTTGATGTTACAATTAGTACATTGCATGAAATTTTAACAAGAGTAACAAACTTTTTAATGCAGTTGGCTCCACAAGTTATAAAATTTCCTACAATGCAAGAAAAAGAAGAAACAATGGCACATTTTCTCCAACAAAAACAATTTCCTGGAGTTATTGGTACAATCTACTTCTGTGGTGTATTATTTATTTTGTTCTATTATATTACTTGTAAACATTATATATGTATATAAATTACATAATATGCATCAAACTTAAAATTACATTTTTAGGTGCTGTAGATGGCACGCATATCCGAATCGATAAACCGACACAAGATCACGATTCATATGTTAATAGAAAACAATTTTTTTCAATACATATGCAGTGTGTAGTAGATCATAAACTGAAAATTTTAGACGCGTTTATTGGATATCCCGGATCTGTACACGATGCAAGAGTTTTTCGGGAATCTCATTTATACGAATGTCTTCAAGAAATTTGTCCGAGTTAGTAATA